AGGAAAGCACACAGCCCCTGACGCTTTCTTCAGGGCCTCCCTCCCTTGCTGACGCCCTGAGTGCCTGCGTCCGCAGATCCCAGGTTTGGGTGCAGGGAGTGAGTGCAGGCCAGGATCTCAGGAAGGCCCGGGGTGGAGTGAGCCTTGGGGTCGCTAGAACTCCCACTGTGCTCCACGTTGTGTGGGGTACCCTGGGCCACGCAGACGGTCAGCTCCTCCTCTTTCCCAGGCTCTTGGCCCAGCTGAACGAAACCGAGGCTGCCTTCGATGAGTTCTGGGCAAAGCATCAGCAGAAGCTGGAGCAGTGCCTGCAGCTTCGGCACTTCGAGCAGGGCTTCCGGGAGGTGAGTGGCCCTGGGTGGAGCCGGCAGCCGCCCTGATGCCCATGGGGCCTCCTGTGCCTGTGCCCTGGTCCCAGTGCCAGGAGCTGAGCCGTGCCACGCGGTTGACTTCCGCTTAATGCAGAAAAGTCTCCACTTGCCAGGTGGAGCCTGTGAGATTAAGTGGGGCTGAGCCTTGAAATGCACCATTGATGACTGCGTCACTATATAGACAGGTGATTGAAAATCGGCTCACTGCGATGCACTTACACCTGCATTATTCGTAAATTAGCAGGAAGCCTTTGCTCTCCCTTCATAGTCATTTGCATGCCCTTTTATTCAACATGCGTGTGTGATGTCCCTGCTATGTGCCAGACTGTAGGACAGTGTCGCAGCCATGAGGTGCACGTCGACACGGCCAGTGCAGCCAGACCCAGACGTCTCCTGCCTGCGGCCCCTCATGAGAGACTCACCCGTGTCTCCCACAGCCCACCCCTCCTCAGCCCCCAGCAACTGCTCCTCTGTTCCCATGGCTGTACTTTTGCCATTTCAAGAATGTGATGTCAATGAATCCCACAGAATGTCACTCTCGGGATTGGCTTTGGTGCTCAGCACAGCTCTCTGCAGACCCCCAGGTGCCGGTGGCTCACGCATTGTGTTCCCTGGTATGGACAGACCATTCACCGTTGAAGGGTATCTGGGTTGTTTCCGGGTTTGAGGATTACAGATAAAGCTGTTACAAACATTCATGTACTGATGTTGGTGTAAATGTCAGTTCTCATTTCTTTGGCCTAAATGCCCAGAATGTAATTGCAGGGTTATATCGTAGTTGCATGGTTTGTTTAAGAAAGTGCCAAACGGTTCTCAGCGTATGAGCGACTAGTTGCTTCCCCTTGTCCCCAGCATGTGGTGGTGTAATGATTCTTTATATTACGCTCACATCCTGATGTGTGTGCCGTGGAATCTCGCGGTGGTTTTCCGTTGCGTTTCCCCAGTGCTGATGGCGCTAAACACCTTTCCGTGTGCTGCTTTGCCATTCGCATATCCTCTTCGGTAAAATGCCTTATTTCTGTTGCCTGTTTTCTAACTGGATTGTTTGGTTTTGTGTTTTTGTTTTACTGTTACATTTTGAAAATTTGTTATATACTACAGATACTAGTTCTTTGTCACACATGTAGTTTTGCGAATATTTTCTCCTGGTCTGTAACTTGTCTTTTCGTCCTCTTCACGGGCATTTCACACAGCCAAAGCATTTAATTTCAATGAACTCCAACTTGTCAATTTCTCCTTTTAAGGATTATACTTTTGGTCCTCGATTCCAAGTATATTCCGCTAAGCTTTTTTCCCCCAGAATTTCATAGTTTTACTTTGAAGTCTATGACCTATTTTGAGTTAATTTTTGTATAAGGTATGAGAATTAGATCATGATTTGTTTTACCTCTGGATGTCCAATTGCTGTAGCACCGCTTGTTGAAAAGGCTCTTTCTTCCACTGGATTTCTCTTCCACCGTTGTCAAAACTCTGGGCACATTTACGTGGGTCTGGTCTGGAGACTCTATTCAATTACATTTATCTACACGCCTGTTCCTCTGTCCATACCACAGGGTCTTACTTACTGCAACTATATAATGTCTTGAAATCAAGTACACTCATTCTTCCCTCTTTGTTTTCTTTTTCAAAATTGTGTTAGCTTCTAGTTCTTTTGCCATTCCATGCCAATTTTAAAATTATCTTGTCCACATATACAAAAACCAGTTTCCTGGGGTTTTCATAGTAGTTGTGTTAAACCTGTATTTTGAGGAAGATCAGTGTCTTGACTGTGTTGAGTCTTCTAGTCAACAAACATGGTATTCTCAGCGCTTGTTTTGATTTCTTTCATCAGTGTCAAGTAGTTCTCAGCACACAAGTTCAGTACGTATTTTGTTTGACTTACCTTTAATATTCCATTTAAAGAAGTCATCACAGTATTATATTTTTAATTTTGATATTTATGTATGCATTGCTGCATATAGAAATACGACTGGTTTTTGTATATTTATCTTGTCTCCTGCGACCCTGCTGAGCACACGTATTCTAGACGGTTTTTTGTAAAGTCCTTGAAATTTTCCGTAGAGACCATCATGTCATGTGCAAATAAGGACAGTTTGGTTTCTTCCTTTTTGAAGATATGCCTTTTATTCTACCTCCCAACACCCTGCCCCACTGCATACTGCACCAGCTAGAGCTTCCACCGTTTGATAAGAGTGCTGAGACTGGACATCTCTGCCTTGTCCCCAGCCTCAGGGGGAAAGCGTTTAGTTTTTCACTATCAGGTATAATGTTAGTTGTAGGAGTTTTGTAGATGCTCAGTAAAACTATCTGGGCCTAGAGATTTCTTTGGGAGACTTTCAAAATTATGAATTCAGTGTCTTTAATAGTTATGCAACTATTGAAACTATCTGTTTCACAATAAGATATAGTAGTGTGTTTTTCAAGGCAATGTGTAGGGTTGTTTATACTATTTTTTAAAAATCTTTTTGATGTCTGCAGGGTCTGTAGTGATATTCCCCGTTTCGTTTCTGATATTTGTAATTTGCATCTTCTTTCTTTTTTTCTTTGTCAATCTAGATTGAGATGTGTCCCTCCTCATCTTTCCAAAGAATGAGTTCTTTGTTTCATTAGTTTTTTCTGTTGTTTTTCTGTTCTCAACTTAATTGATTTCTGGTCTTACCTTTATTATTTCCATGGATTGCTTTGATGGGAACTTACACTCTTTATTTGAGACTATTCCTCTTTTCTAACATGCATATTTAATAAGGACACTATAAATTTCCCTCTCATCACTGATTTAGCTGTGTTCCACAAATTTTGATGTATTGTATTTTCTTTTTCATTTAGTCCAGTTTTTTTTTCCCAATTTCCTTTGGAACTTTCTCTTTGACCCATCAGTTATTTAAATGTATGTTGTTTGGCTTCCAGTGTTCAGAGATTTTCCTGTTGTCTTTCCACTCTTGATTTCAGGTTTGATTCGTTGTGATCAGAGAACATACTCTTCTGCATGATTTCAGTTCTTACAAATGTGCTGAGATTTGTTTTATGGGCCAAGAATATGGTCTTTTTTTATATATGTTCCTTGCTTGAAAATAATGTGTATTCTACTGTTGTTAGGTGAACGTTTATAAATATCAGTTAGATTCTGTCGGTTGATGGTATTGAGTTCTTCTGTATCCGAGCTGGTTTCTGAGAGGTGGTGCATTACCCATAACTCAGTGGCTGTGCCAGATGCAGGGGGTTCAAGGATGGACAAGAATCCTGCCTTCCTGGCCTTCAGCCCCAGGCCATCTGAACTACAATCTCCTTGGCACTGGGATGTCTGCGTACACACCTGTTCTCAGGATTATTTCCAACAACAAAAATTAAAATCTTTTGTATTTAAAGGAGTAAGCAGTTATACGTTTTAAAAATCAGGCCAGGCATGGTGGCTCACGCCTGTAATTCCAGCACTGTGAGAGGCCGAGGCAGGTGGATCACCTGTGGTCAGGAGTTCAAGACCAACTTGGCCAACATGGTGAAACCCCATCTCTACTAAAAATGCAAAAACTAGCTGGGCGTGGCAACTGGCGCCTATAATCCCAGCTACTTGGGAGGTTGAGGCAGGAAAATCACTTGAACCAGAGAGGCAGAGGTTGCAGTGAGCCAAGATCACATCATTGCACTCCAGCCTGGGCAACAAGAACAGAACTCCGTCTCAATAAATAAATATTAAAATAAAAATCATTTATATGACACCCGTTGTCTTCCTGCTAACAGCAGAAATCGTAGACATTAGAAGTTAGTAGCAAGCTAGAAGGGACTGAGTTACATAACTCTCCACGCCTAGGATCCAGTAGGAATGCCGACAATTCCAGTGTCCACATTGCTGCTGGCTTTCGGCTCCCAGAGCCCTTGTCCTTGCGTGATCTCATCTTCTCCTCATGCTGTTTTCAGGCGTGTGGTTGATAAACGGAGGCACACCCAGGCTGCAGAGAAACAAGTGTCCTGCCAGTGAGGTCACTGGTGGGTACCCAGAGGCCCCATGGTCCCCATTTGATTGGTGACTACTCGGGGCTGACTTTGCACCTGCCTGACTGTGGTCCCTGCTTCATTGATGACCACTTGGCCCGATTTTGAGTTCCGTCACTTCCCTGATCTGGAGCGGGTGCTCTCTGTTCAGATGAGGGAGACGCTCCCCTGAGATGGGCCCTCCTCTGTTCCAGGTCAAAGCCATCTTGGACGCAGTGTGCCAGAAGATAGCAACCTTCACGGACATTGGCAACAGTCTGGCGCATGTGGAGCACCTGCTGAGGGACCTGGCCAGCTTCGAGGAGAAATCAGGCGTAAGGCGGGGTCCCGGCTGGGGCGGCGGGAGAGTGTGAGCAGCAGCATCAAGTACTGCTCAGGAAGGCGCAGGAATGGGCCTCCCGCCAGCGGAGAACGAGCCCCCACAGCCCCTAGGGGTCGTCCACAGTGGGTGGGGGCTGCTGCCTGTGCACCTCCCCTTCCACACCCCACCCACAGCACGTGGCCCTGCCCGGCCTTCTCTGGGTCAGCTCCCTGCAGACGGGCAATGCCCTTTGCTGGGACCACCACAGCCCCCAGAAGCACTTGCCACAGAACAGCTCTGAGCGTTAGGCGGCATCTCAGTCATCCATAGCAGTAAACAAAGAAAGCAAGACACACGTGTGCCCAGGGACGCACATCCCGTACAGCGAGGCACCGTCTGCCTCGAACAGAAAGAGACCTGAGCTGGTCCTCTGGGTGGCCGTCTGCAGGTGTCTGTGGAGAGGGCCCGGGCCCTGTCTCTGGATGGCGAGCAGCTCATCGAGAACAAGCACTACGCCGTAGACTCCATCCGCCCCAAGTGCCAGGAGCTCCGGCACCTCTGCGACCAGTTCTCTGCAGAGATCGTGAGGAGGAGGGGGCTGCTCAGCAAGTCCCTGGAGCTGCACCGCCGCCTGGAGACGGTAGGCCGAGCCGGACCTACACCCCAGCTGTGAAACCAGCCTCTTCCTCCCGCCTCCACCACCGGCTGACCCTTGTCATGGGGAGGGCAGCTCCTTGGCTGGAAAACGCCCTTCCTTTCTGGTCTTGCTGGCCTAGCAGGTCTTTTTGTAGAATTCATTTGCACAGTTTGATTTCTTTTTTTTTTTTTTTTTGGCTCACTGCAACTTCTGGTTCCTGGGCTCAAGGGATCCTCCCACCTCAGCCCCCAAGTAGCTGAGACCACAGGTGCATGCCACCGTACCCAGCTAATTCTTGTATTTGTGTGTGTGTGTGATAGAGATGGGGTCTCACTATGTTGTCCAGGCTGGTCTCGAACTCCTGGGCTCAGGTGATCCTCCCACCTTCACCTCTCAAAGTGCTGGGATTACAGGTGTGAGCCACCCTGCCCAGCCCATAATGATTTCTTTAAAAGATCCAGAAGCTTAAGGCCTGGTTGATCCTACTGCACTTTCCCTGCCTCTCTGGGCCCCGCCCTGGGTAATTCGCTGGCCTTGTCCAGCACTGTGTCCCCTCGGGGTGCTTTGGACAGGGTAGCGGGAGCATGAGGAGTTGGTGGTCCGGGATCTGTTGGGAGGACGCCCCAGCAGCGTGTGCCTGGACAGGGTGGTGCGCTCACCCTCTCATGGCGTCCTGCCCTTGGCAATGCTCTGTGTTTCTAGTCCCTGAAGTGGTGTGATGAAGGGATTTACCTGCTGGCCTCACAACCTGTGGACAAGTGCCAGTCCCAGGACGGTGCGGAGGCTGCCCTCCAGGAAATCGAGAAGTTTTTGGAGACCAGCGCAGAAAATAAGATCCAGGAGCTCAACACAATTTACAAGGAATACGAATCCATCCTCAACCAAGACCTCATGGTAATGCTGACTCAGGCTCTGCATTTGCAGCTCGCTGTCCCTAGCAGTGGGGCATTCCTCTGTGGGGAGTTTTAAAGAATCGTTTAATGAATTATTTTTATTTATTTATTTTTTGAGACAGAGTCTCACTCTTGTTGCCCAGGCTGGAGTGCAGTGGCACGATCTTGGCTCATTGCAATCTCCACCTCCCACGTTCAAGTGATTCTCCTGCCTCAGCCTCCTGAGTAGCTGGGATTACAGGCATGAACCACCACGCCCGGCTAATTTTTGTATTTTTAGTAGAGACGGGGTTTCTCCATGTTGGCCAGGCTGGTCTCGAACTCCTGACCTCAGGTGATCCACCCACCTGGGCCTCCCAAAGTGCTGGGATGACAGGTGTGAGCCACCATGCCCGGCCCATTTAATGAATTACTCCCAAATAACAGGCATTTGAGAGAAACACACAGTTGGGAGGTCAATCTGAATTTTCCTTTCAACACAGAAGTTGTTTCCACGCCAACCCTGCGAGGTTGCCGCCCCATCTCTGCTGGCAGACTTCGTGGCGTGGGCGTGTTCTTCAGGAAGGGCCTGGCCCTGGGACCTGGTGATGTCCTTGAGACCAGGCTCCTCCTAAGCCATCCACATGCCTGGGGAAGGCCGCAGGCCCCTCCCTCGCATGGAGCTGCCCTTTCCCAAGACCAGGGTCCCATCCCGTGGGTGGGCTGCATCCCCTTCACCGTCCATAGCAGCCAGGGCTGGACGCAGCCGCGCTGCGCTGACAGACCCGGCATGGAGAACATTTAAGGTGGGGGTTGGGCGTGCCCTGGCACATTCTGCGCATGATCGTGTATTTTTAATGACGCCAACACGTGCAAGGCGCCTTACCGAGCGTGTGGTTTCAGGAGCACGTGCGAAAGGTCTTCCAGAAGCAGGCAAGCATGGAGGAGGTGTTCCACCGCAGGCAGGCCAGCCTGAAGAAGCTGGCGGCCAGGCAGACGCGGCCCGTGCAGCCAGTGGCCCCCAGACCCGAGGCACTGGCAAAGTCGCCCTGCCCCTCCCCAGGTCTGTGTGGCTACCCCGTGCCCCAGGTGCTGTGGGACCCTCGGGGCAGCCCCGGGTGTTGAGAGCTTGGAACATCTGAGGCAGCCACCTGCAAAAGCCGTCTCCGCACGCCTCCTTCCCTTCCACCTCCGGGCCCCAGTTCAGGGCCTGAGGGCCGGCTCCTGCCACCCCTCGCCCACGTTTATAAATGGAGTTTTGTCAGGACCCGGCCACACACATCTTGTAGGCATTGTTTGTGGCTGCTTTTCCACGAGGCTGGCAGGGTTCTGTGGTCTCAGTGAAGCCCACGTGGCCCAAAACTGAAAACGCAGAGTTCCCACGGAGGAACCACCTCCGGCCTTCCCAGCTCCAGCCTCTCCGCAGTCTGTCCTTTCCCAGTGCTATTGCCAAACAACGTTCCTCACACGTGGCCCAGACTCTGGGCTCCCGGAGCCCTGAAGAGCCACGTCCACGCACCTCAGTCCGGCCCACATTGCCGGTCCCAAACCTGCCCTCTGCGCCAAGCCGGGAGCCGCCCCATTTCCCAGAGACTTTCCTGCCACCTCCCTGTCTCAAAACGAACCCTCTTCCCATCCTTGCTGGTTTCTCACACACGAACCCACGAGGCGAGCTGCCGCCCCAGCTTTGGTGAAAGTCAGCTGTGAATCTCGGGGGCCCTGGTTGGCCAAGCTCTTGCCTTCCTGTACTGGGTCCCAGGCGACCTTATTTTCTGCCTGTTGGGAGTTCTCCCAGGCTGGAGCCCACAGGCAGTGTGTCCCCATGGGCTGTGGGAACATGGGGTGACTCAGGGCAGCGAGACCCTTTGGTCCTCCCCCTTCTGACACCTATGGCCTCAGAGGCCACGTCCTGCCCTCTCCTTGGGGCCTTTTCCTGCTGGGCGCACGTCCCCTCTCCAGAGGGTCAGGGGGACTTCAGGCCCCACTCCCCTTCTTCCCAACAGGCATTCGGCGAGGCTCGGAGAACTCCAGCTCCGAGGGCGGTGCGCTGCGGAGAGGGCCCTACCGGAGGGCCAAGGTGAGGCTTGCCCGTGACAACCCCGCCATCCACACCCTCCTCCTTGGTTCACACCAGGCCTGGTTCTCCGCGTGGCCCCCTCCCAGGCGCGGCCCAGCTGCCTGGCCAGCTCCCCATCGTGGGAGCTCAGCCCTATCCCCATACGGGAACCAGTGGGCTCTGGCCTTGAGAGTTGGCCCTTGAGGCTGTGTCCCGCCTTTCAGACCTGACACTGTTCTTCTCCCCAGAGTGAGATGAGTGAGAGCCGGCAGGGCCGCGGCTCCGCAGGGGAGGAGGAGGAGAGCCTGGCCATCCTGCGCAGGTAGGTGCGCTGCCCTTCTGGCCTCACAGGGCCCTCTGACCACAGCCTGAACCACCAGGTGCCGTCAGGCACTCAAGTGAACGCCTCACAGATAGAAGGCTGGTGTAGAAGTCATTGTGGTTCTTACTTTTGCACCAACCGATACCCAGAGGGCCTGCCGTGGCTCGAGCGTGTGTCTTGGTCCCCACCACGTGAAGCACACACATGCCGCACACGCACCACTGGGGGGATTCGGGAGGGAAGAGAGGGCGATGGCTGAATGCAAGAGTGAAGGGGCATCTCCACCCCAGCGAGAGCCTCCACCCTCCACTGCCATTCACAGGAGACACCACTCAAAGGCCCCAACCAGTGCCGGCCACAGCAGCAGCCACCAGCTGCTCAGGGCTCAGTGTGGCAGGCAGTGGTGCCAGGCAGCTGGTGTGGGGGATGGCATCGTCTCCAGCCCTCCTCTTCCTCTGGGATTCCTGGACCCTCAGATTCAGGGAGTGTTGTGCAAACAAAAGCAGTTCCCTTTCTTGGCTTCCTTCGCCTTCAAGAAAGACCTCACTGATGCAGGGCCAGGGAGTGCAGGTCCCCAGAGCAAACCTGGGAAGGAGCCAGACACCCCTGGGGCACGTGGGGCTCCTTCCCAGAGGCCCTCGAGGAACAGCAGGAGCCCCTTTGACCATCAAAACTCCAAAATCAGGGAAGAAGAAAAGGCTCTTCCTGACATGCTGACAAGCAGGTGTCCGCAGGCGGCGTCCAAGTGACGCTGCGGGGTTGGGAGATGGAGCAAAATTGGGAATTACACTAAACCTAACCTGGTGTGAAAGCTCAGTCTGTCACTTCTGGCTTCCGATGGGAGCTGGTGAAGCAGGATGGGGGACGGGGGAGTTGCCAAGAAGCTTCCAGGCAGATGATTGTCCAGAGGAGGGTCCAGGCAGGCTCCATAAGGTTGGACAGAGGAGGGTCCAGGCAGAGGAATGTCCACACACAGGAGGGTCCAGGCAGGGGAGCATCCACAC